AGCAGGCGGCTGGACCAACTGGTAAAAATGAAGAGAAGATTCAAGTGTTAACTGACAAAATCGATGTACTTCTACAACAGGTAAGTTTTACCTGCTGTAACATGAGATTTCTTCCTTTCATTACTTGATTAAAAGCTATAATCATTTTTTTTTATTATTCTTTAGATCGAGGAGCTAGGTTCAGAAGGGAAGGTGGAAGAGGCACAAGGAATGATGAAACTTGTTGAACAGTTGAAAGAAGAAAGAGAATTGCTGAGGTCTACAACTTCAGTAAGTGATATGTTTGCAGTTCTGTTAGTCTTATCTCGGACCTTAGTGCAGCAGTACACTTAATCACCTTGTCCTTGCGTTGAAGGCACGCAAGTGTATGCAGAATTTATTAGAAAATAGTAATGCTTAAACCTAAGTGTTAATCCAGTGTGCCAGTTGAGTATGCTGCCTTGAGTGGTTCACGCGCAAATTATGAAATTATTTGTACAGCAGTCTTGAAGGTGGGTTTGCAGTTTATTCTCTTTTTTACCGGTGACTTGGAGACATGCGTCTTGAAACTTCAATACGTTTTGTAGGGCGTTCTGTCCAGTTACAATTTCTTGGGTTTGGTTTTGTTTTGTGGTGTTTTCCCCTCCCCACTATGTGGAAACTTTTCAGCCGCTTCTTCCCCCTCCCCGTGTGTATCCTTCTTTCTTTGGTGCTTTCTGGTCGAAACTTTGACATCCTAAAATTAAGGGTAGCTGACACCTTTTGTTTGTTTTCTGCACATATTACTTGTACCCCACAAGCTTTTTCTCCATCAGATTGAATTTCAGTTTTTAATTTCCAAAATGGCTTACATACACTAATTACTACTTAATATTTCAAGAGATTGGAGGCAGGTGTCCATGTGATAGCTTAAAAGCTGAAGCAAACATTTTAAGTAGCAAGTTCCTGGCAGCGAAAAGTAGCTTATGTTTAAATATGGAATCTCAGGGTTTAATAGCATGTCCACACTATGATTTTTTTTTTTTTTTAAAGTAAGAATATCTTGTTCACACTAGATGACTAATGAACGTTGCATAGCAGTAATCAACTTGGGTTTACGTTTCGGTGTGCTTCTCAGTATGTTTGTTTCAACAGTCAACTATTTTTGCTACTGTCCTTTTAAGTAGAAGCCCGATGTTCCTTTTCATATTTCATCGTGGGATACTGTAGGATTTTCATCCTTGAGACATATTTCATTGTTATCCTGCATAAGTTTTAGTTGATGTCAGAGAACTATCTTAAGAAGAAAAAAAGATTTTTATTTCCCTTAATCCCGAGGCCACAAGGAAACTGCAGATATGGCTAGATACCCCTTAAACCATGTTCCTTGTTGTAAAAGGTTGTTTCCTGCGTCTTCTAAGTGACTTCTCAGTAATTACTCATGGTTTACATAAAACAGGCCTGCGTAGCCTTTTTTGCCCTGTTCTTGTTAGTGGATGTGATGCTCCAAAGTCAAAGCATGCAATCACAAATGTCAGCTTTCAGTAGTGGCCTAGGATTTGACAACAGTAACAGTAAAATTCTAATTCTCTTCCCTGGTGTCTGGCTAAAACTTTTTTTGTGCTTTATCTAATACTTTCTTTTACAGACAATTGAGAGCTTTGCAGCTCAAGAAAAGCAAATGGAAGTTTGTGAAGTTTGTGGAGCCTTTTTAATTGTAGGAGATGCACAGTCCAGGGTAGATGACCACTTGATGGGAAAGCAGCACATGGGTTATGCCAAAATAAAAGCTACTGTAGAAGACTTAAAAGTAAGCGTATGTTTGGTTATTCAACATAAAAATTATTTGACGTTTTTCTTTGGTAATCAGAAAGCTCACCAGCAGACTCTTCTCAAATATGTGAAATATTCCAAAGATAGTACATAAAAATTAGATAGAATCAGATGTAACTTGCATTTAGCATTGTGCGTGCCCTGACTTTTTTTTTTTTTTTTTAAATCGTAAGCGTTGTAATAGGTTTAAGATTAGGTGGAAACTTTTTGTGGCCTTTGTAAAGAACTATAATACGGCCTGCGTTCTTATAAAAATGACCGGAATAAAATATTCTCCGAGACGAAGGACTCCAGTTTCACCCTGTTGAACTAGGACTGCTCCAAATGATTTCTGAAAATGCTTTTATGCAGGCTATCCTTGGTTTGAGTGTTAGGAAAAAAACAATTAATGTTATATAATCTGAGGATGTGGAAGCTTAAGATCTTTAAAAATTAAGTTATATTGAATGATTTACTAAGTTATTTTGAATAATGCTAATTTCTTCCTGTGAACTTCCTTATTTTTAAGGAAAAGTTGCGGAAAAGAACAGAAGAACCTGACCGTGATGACAGGTTAAAAAAAGAGAAACAAGAGCGAGAAGAGCGAGAGAAAGAGAGGGAACGGGAAAGAGAAGAGCGGGAAAGGAAGAGACGACGTGAAGAAGAAGAAAAGGAAAAAGAAAGGGCTCGTGATAGAGAGAGACGTAAAAGGAGTCGTTCTCGTAGTAGACATTCGAGCAGAACATCTGACAGAAGATGCAGCCGTTCACGAGACCACAAAAGATCAAGAAGCAGAGAGAGAAGGCGAAGCAGGTATGCGACAAAGTATTTTCGTGTAACTTCTTCAAAATGTAAAAATGCTGGGGGGGGGGGGGGGGGGGTGGTGTTTTTGTAATACCTTGTTAGCTCCACTGTTGTTTTTCTGAGTGGGAACATCCTTTACCGGTTCTAAGGATAAGCGGGTTTTGCTACGTGCTCGTTCTCTTTTCTCCATCTTTGGAAGCAGATGAGAACACTGTGGTGGAAGTGACTTTATGAAGTAGCTTTGAGTAGACAGATGTTCCCAAAGAATAGAGTTGTGCTTCTTTCTCTCCCCTCCCTCTCCCCCTGTCCTCAAGTTGGACTTTAAGAGTATCCACTGCTATGAATTAAACTGTATGGTTGAATGCTTGAATAAATGAAGAAGGCAAAGCAAAGACAGATCTTATGTCTGGAGAGATGCTCGCGTACAGTATGCCAAGTCTTGTTTTAAATATTTACTCTTCGGCAAAATACTTATTGTATTAAAACTTCAAATCAGTAGCAGTTTTTGTCTACTGAGTGAGACAATATCAGCTGACGTTTCCATATTCCAATTTCCTGTAAATGCTAGGAGTCGTGACCGAAGAAGAAGCAGAAGCCATGATAGATCAGAAAGAAAACATAGGTCTCGCAGTAGGGACAGAAGACGGTCAAAAAGTCGAGATCGGAAATCCTACAAGCACAGAAGCAAAAGCAGAGAGAGAGAACAAGACAGGAAGTCAAAAGAAAAAGGTATGTTTGTGTGAAGATGCTGTTCGTATAAAGTTCTGTAACTTAATTTTTTCCTAAAGTCTCACATGCTCCTAGTCTTGCAGTCAGGGACTGAAAGTTCTCAGCATCAATTCAGAACTGATCAGATAAGCTGTATATGTTGCTATTAACTGATTTAAAGCACTTCACTCTTTCCTGTCATTGTTAATGCACACATCCCAATGTCTACCATTTTATTTGTTGCAGTAGTTATTAAAAGCTTACCATTACTTTGAAGACAAAGTAGTGTGAGGATTTTGACGTATTTTAATACCTGTTGGCCGTTACCTTCAGAAAAACGAACGCACTGTAATCTTTTTTTTTAAAAAAACAATGAATGAATATCTCCTACCATTAGCATTATTTCTGTTATTACCCTTTGCTTGTGTGTTTTCTGTGAGAGATTGACTGCTGGCGATTCTATAGCACCTGTTACTTCTCTGCGCTATCATGTTTCCCTTATTTTCCTTTCACAGTGTCTTAATTTGTCTTAATTTATAAATACAGACCAAGAAAATAAATATTGCAGAATTTCTGTAATGATTTAGGTTACAATCCCATATGCCCCGACCACTC